CCACTAGAGGGTGTGCAAGTACCACTTACATTGCAAGATGAACAAAAAATTGAGTAATTAAAAAAAGAATAAGTGATCTTGGAACTATCCTTTCTCTGATTCTTTGTTCATCTTTTTAATTGTTGTTGAGGACAATTTTTAAAGAGTGCATTTATTTTGTAAAGAGAATGAAAATTTTCTAAAGGGAAATTTTCAAAGAAAAAAAGTACATTTTTGTAGTTAGCATTAAGGGAAAATGCAAGTGAAAGTATCTTAATTAAAGGACACATCTGAATTAAAACACGATTCATGATTTACTTTTAAGCTGAGGAATTATTTTAAATCATGAACGACTCTTGGTTATAGGCATTTTTCTACTCAATTTGTTTGATGAGTGTTTATTGAGCACCTAGTATGGGGCAAGAATAAGAAAATATCCTTGGCTTTGGGGAGTTCACAGTCTAATGGAAAAGACACTCATATAAACATAAAGCATAATGTAATAGAAAGTGTTATCATAAAGATCTGAAAAAAGTGCTTTAAGAGCTTGGAAAGGATGAGACTGGCCATGGTGAGGGGAATTGTCACAGAGAAGGGGACATTCTTGTGTCCCAGACTAACTGCTTTTGTCCCAACTGGGCCTCCCAATGTCTGTGTTGACAGATTTTAGTCCTCATCACTAGGATGTGTGTTCTGTCTCTGTGCTAATGCTCTAGAGCCCGACTGGTCCACAGGGTAGTACTTGGATATTTATATACACTAATTTTAGCCCTAGACCTGTCTAAGCATTGTTTTCCTAGTCTTTTCGCATCCTGTTCTGGGGTCGACACCCAGACAATGAGTTGAGTTGAGCTGAGTGAGCCAATGGGGTGTACAGGTAAACAGCTGAAAAACTTGGAGAAGTGCAAGAGTATATACACACAGCTGACTCACTATGCTGTACTCCAGAAACAGACATGTTGTAAATCAACTATACTTCAATAATAATAATTTTAAAAAGTAGCCTTTTGGGAAGTCAGCCACATTAGACATTAGAAATCACTGGAGCCCCAGTCAGTATAATGTTAGTATATTTAACTGACCAATGTGTTGCAAGCTTTATTTGACTTGTTTCTTAAAGCAAATCTGGACTGTCAGAGTATGCTGGTTTATGGGAAAATAAACTCGCGTAAGCTTATGTCCTACGGATGGGTATGTGTGGGTCTGCAGAGATATGATTAAGCATATGCATTTAGATGAGTTAGATGAGTACCTACAGGGAAGAAGAGCTTATAAATAGATGCTTATAATTCCTATTATAGGATGTGGCTGCTGTTCTGTACTCCCCCAGAGCAATTCTGAGAGCAGGAGATTGCCAGTTGGAAATATCAGAAAGCTGTAGTTTCAGATGCCCTCGCTGACAATTTTATGAGAATGCTGTTATAGGAAATGAGAGTCTAGACAAGGTTTTGTCCTTTTTAAAGTGGAAGAGTTATTTTTTTTAATGGAAGAAATAAAAAGGATAAAAACTAAAGACATGATTTGATTTAGAGGCCAACACTTCTCTTATTATTTCCAATATAACTGCCAGAGGAGGCTGGCAGGGGGAAGGTGAAGGCATCTTGATATGAATTTTAAAACCCCAGGAAACCAAGGACAGAACAACAAATTTAGGTGAATGTTTAGGTCTTTTTATGAATATTTTGTGAAGCTGTATCTTTAGCTTTTGTGTGTGTGTGTGAATACTATGGAAAAGTATCCATGAGATTTTAGCATTTTTATTAGGATATGATTATTTGTTAGTCAACGTTAGAGGGAAACTGAAAGAATTTCAAATTGTTCTGTCTGAATTTTGGAATGATACAATGATAGATGAAATTTAAACTCAATGTTTAAACCAGGTAATGCTGCAGAAGCAGAGATTTTCAATAACTGTGTTTATGCATTGTGACAGCTTCTAAGTTAAAAACCTAGCAACTCTAAGGAGATACACTCAGCCATCACCAGAGATAGTATAACCGAGATAACTTCTCTACAAAAAGGGGAGTTTGGACCTGATGCTATATTGAAAATGGAAAAAGTAAATCCGAAGGTAGTATTTTACTAATTATTTGGTGCATTTATATGTCTACAATTAGAAGAACAAAAGCAAAATACATCAGAAGCTGCTATGAAACACAAGTGGGCTAAATAAGGTCTGGCCAGAGTGTAGGTGGGAAATAATACTGACAGTAGATTCAAATAAAAAAGGTTGCTTTTCAAATTCTTTGTATAATTAATTAGCATGGAATATTATAGTATAAAATTAAATTTAATTATAATGTAATATATAATTATACTTAATTAGAATGTATAATTAAAAGAGCCAAGACAGAACGTAAGCTGACCCTGATCAGAGTCCTCTATGGGAGGGGAAAAAAGTGAGAAAAGTCAAAATGAATTAAAATAAATTAAAAAGTTAAAGTGAGGAAAATCAAAAGTATCTGGTGAAATTCAACCACCTTCAGGAATTTTTTGGAGGCCTTGACACAATTCTAAACCTCAAAACAAAAAACCTGAGATGTTTCAGTGTAGTCATGTATAATCTTGGACAAGTCATTCAACTTGTCCCAGCCTGTTTCCCTCTCTGTATTGAAGGGGGAACAAATGGGTTCTGAGATGCCTTCCAGCTGCATACTAGTTTTCTTTGGTCTGAACTTATGTTTAATACTAACAGAAGTAAGGCTGAAGAAAGCTCCTCACCCATCCTCTTAACTATTAAATAGGATTGCTTTGTGGTCTACATGTTCTCTTCCACTCTTCCTCTGAGGAGATGTATTGATCGATTTACCCCAGACAGAGGAGAGTCCCTGACAAGTTCATAGTAGTGAAAGAGCTGTGAACATTGGCCCATGATTGAGGGATGTTTTTTCCACTTAAAAAATACTGTTCTTTGAATGTGCAGAGGGAAAAATATGGACCTAGTAATCAGATAAACCTGGGTTTGAAACCTATTACTTACCAGCTGATTGCAATAGCAACCGTGTTTCTTTATCTGGAAAGAGGGCTAATACCCATCTTGAAGGATGAAGGAGAGCGTTAGCACACATCTCAATACATTTTGTGGTTTCCATTCTTTTTCTTCTTATTTATGATCCTCCAGGGCCTAACTAGAAAAGAAAATAGATTTGATTATTTTTAGAGTCTTTAAACCAAAGAAATCACTGCTAACTTCCGATAAAAATCTTTAAAACAAAATGAGTGAAATGGAAAGTCTCATAAATAGTAAAAATCAGCCACTCTGACAGCGTTTGAATGCCAAGGGGATTTTAGGCAGTAGGCATTAAATCAACATACACCTCCAGGATTCTTCTGCAGAACATTGTAACCGGTCATTTCTTCTCTTCTGTGCCAGATTTCCAGAATGCCATAGGAAAATTAACCCTCACTTCAATATATTAGGCTCTGAAGTCTGAATATAAAAGCAGCAAAGGTCTATTTTCAAAGCCGAAAGGCCTGTTTTTAGACGCCTGGAGGGTTTGCCGGAATGGGTTTAAGCCCTCTGGAGGTCCCTTTCCCAGAACCCCCAGCTCCTCCTCAGTGCCAGGACCCGAAGGCGTCCCTCTCCACACACCCCCTTTTTTTCCTTCTTCTGAGCTCCCACCCCTCACCCCCTTCAGCTGCTTCTCCTTTTCCATCTTGGCTTTCTCCCATCACTGGTCAAAATAGGAAACGTAAGTATCTGTTTGTTGCTTAGTGTAGCGCTAGAAAGATTTTTTTTTTAAGATTTTAAAAATTCCTCTCCTGGTTCTTCATTTTGCAATGAGTCCGAACGTCGGCTGGGTCCCTAGTCCTCCCTACCGAACTGTCGTGTACTAGTGTAAGAGGGTTCGGGTCTGTCCGAAAAGGTCTGAAAAACCTCCTGCCGCAAGGAAGGATCCCGGAGCGAAGAGCCTCGGGATCCCGGGAGGCGCGTGGAGCGCCGCCCCCCGCCCTGGGGAGGCGCGGGAGAAGCG